ACAGATGGGGCCCAATAGGGCCGATGCCGATTCGGAGTCGCGGAGAACCTAACGGGTAACCGGGGCTCCGGCTCGACGTGCAGGAGAAGGAACGGGGTGGTTTTTAGTCAGTAAGAGTCTGACACTCCCTTCCGCCTCACCCAGGCGGGAGCAGTCATTCGATGATTTTCCCCCCTTAAAAAAAAAAAAAAAAAAAAAAAATCCATCTTATTGCAAACAAATCACACTCCGGTGCTGACATCAGGAGAGAATAGAGCATGGTGAGTACTGGGACCAGTGGAGAATTTGCATGGGCCACTGTACGTGCTTCTGGTACAACCAATAAGGGATGTTGGTCAAAGTTGGTGGGTGAGTAGTTTCGGTACTGAAACCGTACCATCTGACCTACTATCTCTGGACAGTCAGATTCACCTCGCAGCGTCTTACAGATAGTAATCATTAAGGAGTATTTTTTACGCCTCACCTCAAGAAAGTTAAACCGCAACATGCCTAACAGAAACTTAGTGGGGTACAGAAAAGGGGAGGCTTCCGGCGATACTCACTTAAATGGGACCGTTTGCGGTGTTTCTTGTGATTAGTATTATACACGATTTTCATGTTATTTACATAATACCTACCTAAGACTGTCTCGTTGACCGAGTGGTCGCAACGTCGACTGGGGGACTTCAAGGGGTCTCGGGTTCGATTCCCGGGTCGGGCAAAGTATTATTGGGTTTTTTTAAATTCTCAGTTATTACTGAGAATTTAAAAAAACCCAATAATACTGCTACTGTTATGTCACACGTGCACACTCCGTGCTATTGCACGGAGTCTGGAATTGTGCCCGGTATATGGCAATAGTCTCACCCCCTCCCTGCGTGGGCTGAGCACCGCCGTGCCCTCAGGGAAGTGATCGGCGATGGCGACCTCTCGCGTCCGGGCCTAGTGCAGGCCATGATGCGGAGCGAGGGGGACTGGGATGCCGTCTCCTCCTTTTGCGAAGCAGTCATGCTAGCTAAGGAGGAGGCGGGACGCGTGAGGCAGCGAAGCGCTGCCTCCTCGCGACCCAGCCATCGCGAAGGACACACCGGGCGTCGGGGATCGCGGGACGATCTCCGGCCACCGTAAGCGCGGGCCTGCGGACGGCGAGCATGGGTGGCTCCCCGTCCGACCAGAAACAGACCCGAGCGTACGGCGCGTCGCGTTCCGCGCGCGCCTCAAAGAGCCATCAGACCACCACAGATGGGGCCCAATAGGGCCGATGCCGATTCGGAGTCGCGGAGAACCTAACGGGTAACCGGGGCTCCGGCTCGACGTGCAGGAGAAGGAACGGGGTGGTTTTTAGTCAGTAAGAGTCTGACACTCCCTTCCGCCTCACCCAGGCGGGAGCAGTCATTCGATGATTTTCCCCCCTTAAAAAAAAAAAAAAAAAATAGTCTCACCCCCTATTATATGGGACTCATAACATAAATAGTGAAAAGTGGGTGTTTCATTGTACAATGGAATAATGTGCACCTCTGCCTACCCCTTTGGGGATAAAAGGCGTGATGTTATGGTAACATGATGTTATGTTACCTACCTAAGATTTTAACACGTGTCACACACGGTATCCAACCAACATGTCTTCCGACCGACGTGGTTTGCATAATAGCCAAACCGGTTTCTGTATAAAATCCTCAAAAACGCTTTCTGCACTTTTTCAAGCATGAGAGCATAAGTACATAACCTCATGCGGACTCCATACCAGAAATGCAGAGTCTAGCTTGGTTCTAACCAGGGTCATGTACACCAGTTTGATAGCTGTTATATTATCAAATTCGCGTATATTGTGATTTGAAAATCCTAACCTACGATAAGAGTCGGTAGTAACCGCTCTCATGTGGTCATGAAATGTTAGTCGAGGATCGAACAAAACCCCTAAATCTTTTACAGAGTATACACGTTCGATTCCCTTCCCTCGCAAATATGTAGTATGTAGTCCACATGTATGAGGTTGTGAGCTCTAGTAAAAGACAATCACATTGCAGTTGGCCGTGTTGAAATCCAGGTGATTTTTAATGCTCCAGTTAAACCTTCCTGCCTCGTTGACCGAGTGGTCGCAATTGTAACTACCGGGCAAGGGTTCTTGAGTTCGATTCCCGGATTGGGCAAAGTATTACTGGGTTTTTAAAAAAATTCTCAGTAGTAGCACGGAGTCTGGAATTGTGTTCGGTGACTCATAACATAATTAGTGAAAAGTGGGTGTTACTTCTGTGTGCACCTCTGCCTATCTCTTCGGGGATAAAAGGCGTGATGTTATGTTATGTTAAACCTTCCCTGGACTTACACTAATATTCCAAGAAGAAAATTAACCAAATCGGGGCATCCGTTGTCGAGTTTTAGCGAGACTAACGAAAGGAAATTAATTTTATTTATATAGATTTTCTTCAGAGATACTAAATTAATTATTGATTATCTTCGGTAACAGCCTCTGTAGTACTAAGGACCTCTTCTGCATGTTTTTTTATATGGAATAGGAGGCAAACGAGCAGACGCATCACCTGATGGTAAGCGATCAGCGCCGCCCATGGACACCCGCAACACCAGGAGTCACAGGTGCGTTGCCGGCCTTTTAAAAAGGAGTACGCTCTTATCTTGAAGGTTTGAAGGTCGTATCGGTTCGGAAATACCGTCGACGACAGATCATTCCACAGTTTTGCTGTGCGAGGCAGAAAGCTACGGGAGAAGCGCACAGTTGTGGCCTGCCATCTATATGATCAGAGTATAATCCTTGCTAGATTGGTATGAAGCGAGCGATGCCACTGGCAGAGAAGTAAGTATATAATAAAAGTCAGTTTAATGATAGTAATTCATTTATTTAATTATTCATACGTACATTATTTTGTCACTTCGTTTGTATTTACGTCACTATAAAAAATGGAAATATGTAAAAGTTTCCTTAATATGAAGGGGGGAAGGGGTAAGGGGTAGTGATCACCCCAAAAGAAAGGAGATTTAGGGGATACATAAAAAAGTATGAAGAAACAATTAAAACTATACATAAAGTTGAGAACAATAATAGATGAGAACTACTTTCTGGACCAAATTTCTGACCATGTCATAAGTAATGAGGGATGATATGTTACTTTCTCTTCTTGAAATTCTAAACTCCTTTCTATTTTAACTACACCAAGATACCAACTGTTTATATTTACCGACTACTATTTTATACAATTTTGAACCCTTTAACATTTTGTAGGTCATAAAAATGAACACATACATTAACTAAAGATTGCGGGTTACTCACGTGAAAATACTGAGAAAAACTCTACTAGTTTCGAACCACAGAGGGGTTCTTCCTCATGAGCAGCGTGCGCGGTCGCGGCGATGTCGCGCAGCCTACTGTACAGCCAACTAGTAGAGCTTTTCTCAGTATATTTACGTGAGTAACCCGGGATTTTTAGTTAATTTAGTATGTCTCACGGTAGTTATTATAAAAACATCACATACATTATAATAGGCTATATAAGGCCGCTGCCTCGGATGTTGCGGGCACCGCTAGACCGGTCCATTTGATTTTACGCATAAGATCCTGTCGCTCCCGCTCCGCCACAGCTTCGCTGCCCGCAAAATAGGGTAATTTCCTAAATTTTATTTTAATGTCCGTCTGGAACATTAATTTAAAACATTAGACACGTATTTTTTCTTTTCTCACAAAATTAAATACTTTCGACGATATATTAATTTGAAATATCGTGTGACGTCACAGCGTGGCACGTTTTGTAGCACGTTATGACGTAACGACCTACCATTCCTAAACTTAGCGCCATTTTATCTTAACTTAATACGAAAAAATAAAAAAAATACGTGTCTAATATTTTTTCATTATCTAACTGACGGACTAATTAGATGTTTAATTTTGATACCCTGGAAACTACCCAATTCGAGGCAGAGGCCTAATAGCTTATGTATTAAATACTCAAACACCGAAAGTTTTCAAGAATAGTTCTACACTACATTATACAATCACAGAGATAGGATGATATTTACATTTAAAAATTCAGTAGCATTTCAGTATTCAGGCTCAACCTATTGTATGTCGGTATTTAAGATACAATATAGAATGCATGGTGTCTCGCGTAGATCTACCGACACACCAGAGGTTAAAGGACATTGCATAGAATAAAGGCACGGCTCCGGCAGCGCTTTTTATGTTGTGGAAACCATACAGATATGTCATATGGCATACAGTTTAAAGTTCATATTCAAATGACAAGTTAATACGGTAGTTGACATACATAACATCACGCCTTTTATCCCCGAAAGGGTAGGCAGAGGTGAACATTATGCCACTGTACAATGTAACACTCACTTTTCACTATTTATGTTATGAGTCCCATGTAATAGGGGGTGAGCCTATTGCCATACGGTAGTTGACAGGTAGTCAAATTCAATACTTTTATTGAAATGTCTAAAACGATACTTTTCTATGAATTTTGTATTGGATCGCAACTTTTGACGTCATCATATTTTTGCGTCAAACAGCATACTCATTTCCTTAAAATTAGCGAGAAAAATCCAAAAGTAGGTAAATTGTCAAATCAATGTATGAGAGTATGATTATTATTTAATTATTTATTGCATTGTATAGTTGAAACAATTAATTTTAAACCTTGGAAACTAGCCAATTGCCGGGATGGAGCGGTGCCGGTTATATTATACTAGCTTTTACCCGCGGCTTCGCTCGAGTCACAAAAGAATAAAAAGTAGACATGTGACATATACCAATACAATATATAAAATACACACAGCGCCATCTATACCAATACTTTTGTTTTTCCTCGGGAATATCAATTTTTCCGGGTTAAAAAGTACCCTATTATTTAATCCAGACTTCTAACTTTACGTCTGCAAAAATTCAAAGCAATCGGTTTAGTAGTTACGGCGTGAAGGTGGAACAAACAAACAAACAAACAAACAAACTCACTTCCAGATTTATAATATTAGTAAGGATGTTGTGACCTAGGTTCATCCCAAGTCGTTTACAGTCCAGGCATGATGTATGCGATGTTATGTAGCGTGTCTTGTAGAAGGCTGGCCGGCGGGGCGATGGCTGGCAGAGCTCGGCAGACGCTGAGTAGTGGCGCGAGGGAACATAGGAGCGTGTCCAGTAGCACTGATACTGAGCCTGATACTGCGATTTGGCCCTGTGGACATACATTCTAATTTTAACAATCTGAATTAATGAGTGGTGATGGTACACTGACATGGTATATATGTCGTGGTGGCCCGGAGGTTTAAAACGCCCGCTTCTCATGCATAAGGGTGTGGGTTCGAAACCTACCAACGACAAGTACCGATTTGAGATTTTCCGAGTTATATGTCCTTTCTAAGATTATCTAGACACCACTGACAAACGGTGAAGGAAAACATCGTGATGAAACCTGGACTTATAATTTCTAATTATAAGTTTGTAATCGCCAACCCGCATTGAGCAAGCGTGGTGATTAATGCTCAAACCTTCTCCGTGTGAGAAGAGGCTTTGCTCAGCAGTGGGCACTTATAGGCTGTTGGTGATGATGGTACACAGAAGAATACAGTGACTGAACAGCAGCGCCCTCTGAATAGATAGATATGAAATATGCGGTTTTACCAAATGACCTAGTAGGGATTGATTCTGTTATTGAATAAGATTCCTTTTGAGATTTGAATAGAGTAGTAGAGATTTTCCCAAATACTTCACGTAGTTAATGCGTATATTGTAATGGATTAATATAACACATATAACATCACGCCTATTATATCCGAAGGGGTAGGCAGAGGTGCACACAGGAGTAACACCCATTTTTTACTATTTATGTTATGAGTCCCATGTAATAGGGGGTGAGCCTATTGCCATATACCGTGCATAATTCCAGACATCTAGCTACGACTGACATTTTTTAAAAACCTAGTAATACTATGCCCGACCCGGGAATCGAATCCAAGATTCTTTGCCCGGCAGTCAAACTTAAGACCACTCGGCCAACGAGGTAGTTATGAATGAATTAACTACTGTTTACATAAACTGTAGTGAGACATACTAAATTAATTATTATGGTTTTGGTTGAGGCTAGGCTCAGCCCCTATTACATGGGACTCATAATATAAATAGTGGAAACTGGGTGTTACATTGTATAGGGGCATTAAGTGCCGTAATGTGCACTTTTGCGCGCGCGTGAATGCGGCGTGTAACATTGTTTGTGTGTCGACCCGGGATTCGAACCTAACGTCTGCGCCGCTGTCGAGCGAGCCTAGTGTGGCAGTAGTATCCCGCGCCGCCAGCGGCGGCGCGGGATACTACTGCTACGAGGAGGCGCCGCCGTGTAGCGCCGGCGTAAGCCGGCGCTACACGGCGGCTGGCTGCTGTAGTGTGCGCATGTGCGCACACTACAGCAGCCAGCCGCCACGCGCGCGCAAAAGTGCACATTACGGCACTTAATGCCCCTATACAATGTAACACCCAGTTTCCACTATTTATATTATGAGTCCCATGTAATAGGGGGTGAGCCTAGCCTCAACCAAAACCATAATAATTAATTTAATTCAATATTGTATGTTTGTAAACGCACCCACGACACAGGAGAAAATCCTAATGTGGGCCAAAAAAAAAGTACTTATTACAGTATACTACTTGATACAGATTTCAAATGTAATGAGCATGAAAATAACGTTTTTCCGAGATACAAAAATGAAGTCTAAATCGTTTTAGTCGTTTATTTCTATTAGACTCATCAAAAAATATAGGTCAGTCCTCTAGTTGCTCTAGTTGCTCGTTCCAAGTTGTAGATTCCTATGGAGAAGAACGAGCAAGAAACTCAAAAAAATTGTTTGTTCCTTGCAGAAATTGAATCCACGACAATGCAACCTTTTAATACATCTAAACCCCACAAACGAACACAATTTCACACTTACAATATTAGTCAAGATTTGAACCACAAGTACATGATATCAAAAGACTTATTAATGACAATGTGCCAACGCACATACCTCATGTTCCTTAAGTCGTTCCCCAATGATGGCGAGGCTCTCCCCTAACAGTCGGAGATGGGCGGCCACCTCCACAGCGCCGCACCCAGTCACACGGTACATGCCGGAGTTGGGGGCCGACGTGCTCGACGCAGGCTGGAATTGGAATAGTGAAACAAGTTAAACTCAGGAATGGTATGCTCGGAGTTTCTTTGCGACACCGAATAAAAGGCGAGGAAATCTGCAAACGAACAAAGGTCAGTGATATAGCCCAGCGGATTAGCAAGTTGAAGTGGCAGTGGGCACATAGCGCGGAGAGCCGACGGCCGCTGGGCAGGGAGGTTCTCGAGTGGAGGCCACGTACCGGCGCAGCGTAGAACATCCACGCAAGGTGGACAGACGACCTCATTAAGGTCGCAGAGAGCTGTTGGATGCAGGCACGTCGTAAAGGCCCATCAGACCACCACAAATGATGCACAACAGGGCTGATGCCAATACCGAGTCGCGGAGAACTTAACGGGTTACCGGGGCTCCGGCTTGACGTGCAGGAGTAGGAACGGGGTGGTGTTTAGTCAGTAAGAGTCTGACACTCCCTCCCGCCTCACCCAGGCGGAAGAAATCATTAGATGATCCCCCCCCCCCCAAAAGAAGATTTGGCCTTGTTCACGCATCTATGTGCGTGTGGACCACAGCGGCGGGGGGGGGGGGCACCCCGCGCGGCTCGCCTACAGGATTCGGTCAGCGACAGATGTGTCGAATCGACCAGAATCGATCTGTATTGAAGTAATGATTTATCTAAACCGAGTCGTTCATCATTAAAATCCTTAAAAGGTCTAGATATAGAAAGTTGAAAAAAAAAATTGTAACTGACCACAAGCGCCTGTGACGGCGGTGTAGTAGGTGCAGGTTGTGGCCGGGGCTGTGCCCTCGGGGGGCGACCCGGACCGGCTGAAGACAGGGGACGACCTGGTGGGGAAATAATAGAATTAACTTAGATAGAAGACTATAATTAATTTAGACTGTTGAGGAAACAAAAGAGGTATGTAAGAATCGTAGCAATTGACGTTGTATAGTCTCTGCTTACCACCATTTTTTTTTTTTTAGGGGGGAAAATCATCGAATGACTGCTCCCGCCTGGGTGAGGCGGAAGGGAGTGTCAGACTCTTACTGACTAAAAACCACCCCGTTCCTACTCCTGCACGTCGAGCCGGAGCCCCGGTTACCCGTTAGGTTCTCCGCGACTGCTTACCACCATAGGAGACAGTCGTGAGGTTACGTATGTAGGCAATTTTGTATTTATTTATTTATTTTTAAATAAACGACCCACACTAGAATTTCCTCCTGTGTCGTGTGTGCGTTTACAAACATACAAGTTCACATACACGTCACACACAGACACGGAACAACAATCTGTGGATCACGGTCGGATTCCCACACAGAGTTACTCCGTGCGGGAATTGAACCCGCTACACGTTGCGCGGCAGCCAGTTGCCTAGCCACCGCGACAACCAAAATTGCGAGTGACCACACACGCTGCTCATGAGGAAGAACCCCTCTGTGGCTCGAAATTAGTAGAGCTTTTCTCAATATTTTCACGAGAGTAACCCGTAATTTTTAGTTAATTTAGTATGTCTCACGATAGTTATTATAAAAAAAAATATTTGCTAATAGAAGGATCCTGGGTTCGATCTACTAATCCCTTGAGAGTATCAAAACGTGTTGTTTACAAACTTATTTATTTATTTATTTATAACTAGCTTCTGCCCGCGACTTCGTACGCGTAATCCTATTTTTTCCCGTCCCCGTTCGTGATTTTCGGTAAACAGTAAAAAAAAGTATTGGTTAAAAAGTATCCTATGTCGGTCTCCTGGCTCTAAGCTACCTCCCTGCCAATTTTTAGCCAAAAATATTCTGCCGTTCTTGAGTTATAAGTGGTGTAACTAACACGACTTTCTTTTATATATATAGATTTCATGTCATCACCACACATGCAATATTACAAAGGACACATTACAAGTATGAGGTACATAGGTACTTACTTGGGTTAGACACGATAATCTTGTTAGTGGACTGGTTATTTTGTTCCTTCTGCATCGCGAAACGTTTCGCCTTGCGCTTCCATAGGTAGCGCTCGTTGTAGTTTACCTGAAAAACACATTTTCAGGGTTCATAGATTTAAAAATTTTCATCTTTAATCTAATCTAAGAGGTTCTAGACGCTGGGGGAAATCTAGTCCTTTTTTGTAAAGTGAGGAACTATTTGTGGACACAAAGAGATGTTCCGTGCGGGAATCGAACCCGTGACACGTTGCGCGGCAGCCATTGGCCCAGCTACCGCGCCAACCGTGCTGTCAAATAATCATTGTATGTATTAAGACAAGCTTTGTACAAATGTGGCAGAGCCATGCTTCGGCACGAATGGGCCGGCTCGACTGGAGTGATACCACGGCCGAGCAGAAAACCGATGTGAAACAACACTGCGTCGAATTAGCAGGCCAAATTCCTGAATCCCCAACAATCCTCAAATTCCCATCCCCAAAAGACCGGTAACGAACTTGTAACTCCTCTAGTGTTCCAAGTGCACATGGGCGACGCCGATTGTTTATCATCAGGTGATTCGTCTGCTCGTCTACTGCTTACCCCATAAGAAAAGAATTTAAGTTTCAATAAAACTTATTTTTTTTGATGGGACAAGCCCGCCACAACCTCCCAAAACCGCTGCAACTCCTGTAAGCCAGGATCTACAGTCCGAATCAGAAGTCCGGCGCATCCCAGGGACATGAGTAACTGTCTTGGTTCCCGCAACGAAGTGAATTAGAAGATATTATAAGAGGAGAAGAAAATAACGATAGTTTTCACTTAAAACTTACATTAGACCACATCTCTCCGAGCCTCTTGGATATAGCAGAGAAGTCCATGTCAGGGTGCTTGCGCAGTAGTTCATTGCGCGCCTCCTTCGCCCACATCATGTATGCGGTTATACGCGTCTTACCTGAAAAGTAGGATGGAATGAAAAACTTAGGTTCTGGCAACGAGTTTATTTGTTGATATTTCAATATTTGTATAGTTTTTAGTCATATGTAGTCATAAGGAAGTTTTTTGGTGTAAAATTTATTAACCCGTCGAGCGTCAGCGTTCCTTATGATCCAATGGGTGCACATGTGATATTTGGAGAAAGAAAGAAAGAAAATGCATTTATTTGGCCATTGGCACACGAAAACAAGGATCATTACAATAGAAAAAAAAATGCAGTCAAAATAAAAACAAAACATTAATAATAATAGATTTTATAAAAGATAAAGCAGCATGGAGCATTTTTTCTTATGATCCACCGGGTGCTCATAAGGACGCTCGAGGGGTTAATCCGGCTCGAAGGACCAAATGTAGGGGTTGTAAATCCCTACTACAGTGTTGTTTATTAGTTTATGTTGAAATGTGGAATGTTGTTTATGTTAAATGAGTAGACGATCAATTTCTTAGATAGTTTTATTGCTACTGAATTAAATTAATTAAGAAGTTTATAATGTTTAGAAATGCTGATCACGGCGATTTAATTATTCGCACGTATGACGAATTGACGAAGTTAATGTACAGCGTAGCTCGTACAGGAGTTGTGAAAATTTTCTGAACTCAGCAAGGATTAACAAAGGCTCATTCCAAAGTGTACATTTCTATGGAGAAGAACGAGCAAGCAACTCCATAGGTTACGCTTTTTCAATCAGATTCACAATACAATTCTCTATACTCCGTCTGTTTAGGTAGTTAACTATTTGTAAACAAACCATAAAAAGAGTTCTTTATAGTTGACTTTTCCATGATTCAAAATACTTCATAAGAAAATAAAATTGTTTCCCTTTTTACGACAGTTTTCTCTATTAAATGTTATGTTTCTGTTCCTCTTCACTTATTTCTTAATAAATATTAAATATATCTGCTTGAGGATATTAATTTAATAACATTTATTAAATAATAATATTTCATTACAATAGACACCATAAAGAGCCTAAAATCCCAGGTATCCAAAACGTTTCTTTAAGAACGAAGCAAAATAATGTTGTCAAATTAAAGAGTACAACGAAGATGTAGCGCGACAATGAAAGTAGCGTGTATTACGTTTAGTCGGTTAATCAGGCGCCATTGACAGCTCTCTCGTCGTTTGCGCTCGCGTTCCTATTTTGTTGAATTTAACTTGTTTCTTTGTTTTGTTATTAAGTTATTTAAGTTTAGGTTAATCATCGTTTGTAATTAATGTGTAAATATTTGAAATATATTGAAGAAACTTGACCCAAAGACAGATATCCGTACAAGAAAGAAATCCGTACATCAGATTCAGAATAGTTTCTATTTAAACATGATAATGAAATAGACCCATAGGCTAGGCTCTTGTACGATTTAGGCATTTGTACTTGTATGTGTGTGTATGACAAATGAACGATTTTAAAGTGAATTTAGTTAAAATTAAAACACGAGAAATATTTGAAGTAATAGTAGGTTAAGTATCTCTGTGTCACGTGGTTTTCTTTGTTTACCTTTAGTTAATTACCTAAACAGATGGACTATAGTTACATAGTTTTGTTGGTACGATTGTTGGAGAACAATATAACACCTAAATCCAATCAAAGAGATCGAAAAAGAGAATAACCTTTAAGGACAATTAATAATACAGTCTGGAGCTAACTAGTCGCAGTTGACGGCGCCCGTTGAATATAATGTGTATCTTTACATCTTTGCAAAGGCATCCACAATACAGGAGAAAATCTCAATGTAGAAATAAAATCTGATTATTACCGTAGGCAACTCTTATGTAAAAACCTCTTTTGTAGCGCTATAAGAAAAATGGTGGTAACGAAGTGAATTCGCGTTCGCGCTAAAATTCAAAATTCGAAGGCCCGCCTACGCCTCGCTCGAGCGGGCCCCGCGCTGCGCTCGCGCCCAGCAGGGTTGCCAAACTGTGGGGAATTCCCCAAACTGCGGGGAATCTCAAGTTGGTTGGGGATTTATTGGGGATTGGCATTATGTGGGGAAAATGCGGGGATTTTGACTTCTTTTGGCATTTGACACAAATTGGAAAATATTTCATCGTTTATTATCGATAACAACATTTTTTTAAATCATGAAGCATGAAAGCTGGAGAGAATATGGAAGATTTGAAAAAATATGAAAATCGAGGTACATTTTGCAGCTATTGCAGATTTCTATAAGACATGCTAAGAATTTTATATGGAATTCACGTCGGACATTATTAAGATATTTGATTTCCGAGATTCTTTATTTTCTATTATATCTGTTTCAAATCCATTAGAAGCTCAACAGTTTCAAATTAAAACAATCAATATTATTTAAATAATTGATTATAGTTTTATTTTATAAAAAACTTTTGAGGGGAATTTGTGGGGAATCAGCGGATTTTTATTCCCCAATTTGGGGAATTCGATCAGGAATTTTGGGGATTTTGATGAATTAGCTTTGGCAACCCTGGCGCCCAGTCGCCGCCGGACCGTTGTGTGAGTGAGCGTGTTCGAAGACGCGCCGCGTTCCCGCCAATTTTATCGGTTTTTGAATTAATTCGTTGTGGAAACATTCAGCCCTAATCTGTTACAATAGGGTAGATGCCTAATTTATATTGTAATGTCCGTCTGGTAGATTATTTTAAATCAATAGACACGTATTTTTTATTTTCTTACAGGAACGATTTCTATTTTTTTTTCGAATGATTGCTCCCGCCTGGGTGAGGCGGAAGGGAGTGTCAGACTCTTACTGGCTAAAAACCACCCCGTTCCTTCTCCTGCACGTCGAGCCGGCCGTCTGGTAGATTATTTTAAATCATTAGAAACGTATTTTTTATTTTCTTACAGGAACGAATACTTTGAATATTATATATATATTGATTTGAAATGTCGCGTGACGTCACTTCTATGTACCTACATATTATACGTAGAAATGACGTTTTAGCCCCCACTCCGAAACTTTGATTCGTTATATCTAAGTATTGTTTTATTGTACAACAAAATAAAAAAATACGTGTCTAATATTTTTTCATTACCTAACTTACGGACCAATTAGATTTTTAATTTTCATACCCTGTCATCATTTCAATTACACTTGAGAGCAAAAAAACGGAGCTACTAACTAACATTTTTATCATTTTGTCGAAACTTCTAAAACTTAAATTGTTTTTCACGGTATATTGGCACAGCCTTTATCCAAAGCCATCTTGATATATAAAATATAGTTAATATATTGAAGTTAATTCAAGTTTTGTTAAATATTTTTAGGGAATGATGGGTCTGGCATGGTCTTTGTATGTCCAAAAGACTAAATTAATAAAGATAATAAATAAAAAAAATATTCCTTTCACATCAAACTGCTCTCATTTTAAAGGTAACTGAATTGCCTTTTATACGACATATGAAACCAATAAATAAAATACTTGTATTAGAAAATATCCATCAAGAAATAAAAAAGAAAAAGTGTTTATTCTACCTTTGTCTTTCCTCTGCGCCTTAGCGCGTCCGACGACCCTTCCATCCTTGACAATCAGTTTCTTCTTGCTGGACTTCTCCATCATGTATAAGGAGTTAGCAGGGGTCCTAGTGGAACCCTCGTCTGATGCCGAGCTGTCAGACTCCAGGCTGCAATTTTGTGGTTCACCACTTTTAACCAAAGAGTTATTATGATGTAGTTCGGATAGGTTAAAAAAAAGCTTAAAATGAAAGGTTAAAATGAAAAGGTAAGAATAATAAAATTAAAAAAAACATGGATATATTGTGTAAGGAGAGGAATACAGTAAAAATAATTTTATGATTAACAGATTTAAATGCTGTGACTGATGCGAAGTGGACTTGTCACTGGACATGTACCGCAAAGGCCGATTTAAGCAAATACTAAACTATTGCTGAATATCGCTTGGATACATTGCAATACATTAACATAAAAATAAAAAGTTTTAAAAAGAATTGTGCCCGGTATATGGCAATAGGCTCACCCCCTATTACATGAGACTCGTAACATAAATAGTGAAAAGTGGGTGTTACATAGTACAATGGCATTAAGTGCCGTAATGTCCACCTCTGCCTACCCCTTTGGAGATAAAAGGTGTGATGTTATGTTTTAATGAGCTCTAATATGCCAATCGTGAAGGCCCGGAGATTAAAACGCCCGTTTGTCATGCATTAGGGCGTGGGTTAGAAACCTACCATCGCACAGTGTGAGAATCCCGCAATCTAGGGGGATTTAAATCAAAATATTTTTTGTCGTAAATGTTATTATAGTTATAACCTATTTATACCTAAGACCGTATTTAACACAGCTACCTATTAGAAATTCTTGTAGGTATGTTAAAAAAATTCAAATAAAATGTTGAAGTGGGTAGATAATAATCGTTGAACCTTTACAATACAAACAACAATATTAAAGTCTCATCTTCACTTGAGATTACTGATCAAATTAACGTATAGTCTTGTTTATTGGTTTATTATTGTATTGTGTATACCTTTCAAGGTAAGTTAGAGTGTATTTTGTTTAAGTAATAGTTAAACATTGATCTCATAACATCATTTGAAAGCACAGTTAAATTAAGCATTTTCTAGAGACGATTTGCAAAACAAAAGGGTGTATAAAAAAAATCTGAATATCCCGGTGCTGTTATTGTTTTAATGTATAGTTTAGAGTCTTACATTTTAAGAACAATTGCTAAAACTTGCGATTTTGTGCGACCGTCATACATTTTTTTTCGGTTTTCAGAATGACGACCGAAATTACAAAAAAACAAATTTTTGATATTTGGACCTCAAATGCAAAAAAGGAGCGAATTGATTCTATTTTTGCTTTAATAATAAATAATTACCCTCATGTACAATTTTCGGAAGGTGCTATAAATGAAATTAAGTTCTTTTTAAGGAGGTTTTGTAACAAATTTAACGAAAAATGGACAGCTAGCGGTAGACATCGTGAACGCTTTTTAAGCAAGAATATGACTTGGTTGAATGAATGCATTACATTACCAGAAAATGTTTTAAATGAAATACCATCTACATCTGGCCATTCACCAGGAAGACCACACAAAAGTTTTGTAGAATGTTGTGATAAAACCAAAAAACGTAAAGTTCAGGATCTAATATCTTCTACTAGCCCTGAAGAAATAACAGTTGCACATGAATAAAACCTTCGCAAAGCAGGTAAAAGGGACTGCAGATATCGTAAAAGAACTTTCTAATAGTTCACCTAAGAGAGGTTCCATCATGAAAAGCGTACGTAAAACGATTAGCGAAAGCGTTCAAGTGACTGTGTCGGCCGATGAGGCATTAAGCATGATGGTAGATGCTGATCTATCAACACATCAATATGAGATGATACGGCAAAGGATAAATAAATTGGTTAAAAACTTATTGCCATCTTATGACCGAATAAAAGAAGCTAAGAAGAAATGTTATCCTTCCCTGAAAACCGTAACAGAATCAACTGCAATGTGTGACCTGCAATCATTAGTAGACCATAGTATCGAACGACTTTGTTTATCCCAGAAAGAGGTTCTTGGATCAATCCAGGACTTGCAAGGTGGAGTAAAGGAACTATCACTGTTAATTAAGGGGGGTTGTGATGGAGCACAACAAAAATTATATAAACAAAAATTTTGTTCAGAAAATAAATTTGATGAGAACCTTTTTAGCCAGCCAGCCATGGTACCTATACAGTTAAGGTTGAATGGTGAAGAGCATAATACTATAGTATGGCAAAATCCAGCCCCTTCTTCGACAAGGTACTGTCGACCAATTAGACTTAATTTTGCAAAAGAGACTACTTCATTAATTAAAGAAGAGGTTGACACGATACAACAGCAGATCGATGTGTTGTCGGCCGTCGAAGTAAGTCTACATAACTTTAAGGTTTTAGTGAAACCAATTTTTATGCTGACTATGATAGACGGTAAAATATGTAGTGCTCTATCTAAAGTTTCGTCCTCATCTCAAACTTGCTATATATGTGGAGCAAAGCTTTCAGAGATAAATAATCCATCACTTATTATGATGAAACCTCTCGATCAAGCTGCATTGTATTTCGGGCTTTCTCCTTTGCATTCCTGGATTAGGTTTATGGAATGTATACTTCATATCGCCTACAGACTTGATATAAAAATGTGGCAAGCTAGAGGTCAAGAAAATAAAGATAAGGTTAAGGCTAGGAAGATACATATATACAAACACGGTTCAAAAATGAATTAGGTTTATTAGTAGATTTACCAACTCAGCAAGCTGGTAATACCAATGATGGCAACACAGCACGCCGATTTTTCAAAAGTGCCACAATAACTGCTGATATTACCGGAATAAATTTAGAATTAATAGCGAGGTTTCATATCATTTTAGAAACTCTTGGGTCTGGTTTTACAGTCGATTTAGAGTCCTTCAATCTTTACACAGAAGAAACCAGAAACCTATATCTTAGGGAATACTCATGGTATAACATGCCAGTAAGTGTGCACAAAGTTTTATTTCATGGCCGTGATGTCATAGCTTCGTGTATTTTACCCATTGGCCAGTTATTGGAAGAGGCACAAGAAGCTAGAAACAAAGATAATCGAAGATATAGGGAATTCTTTACTAGAAAAACGTCACGAATAGACACCAACACCGACCTACTTAATAGGCTTCTTATATCATCAGACCCTTTCATATCCAGCTTGAGGCTTATAATGAAGAGAAAACGAAGTCCTCTAGACTCCGATGTCCTAAAATTGCTTTCTGCAGCCACCGTAAATGAGATCGAAAGTAGAGTTAGTGACTAAAATAAGAAAATTTATTAATACCGCATTTTTTTTAATACAACTTTTTTTTCTATCGCTGTTTAAGAATTTTTATTTATTTCAATACCAATCAATATTATTTTTCAACTTGTATCTTTTATTTAAATCAATTTGGAATTAAATCCCCCTAGATTACGAGATTCTCACACTGTGCATCGGTAAGTACCAATGTGACCTTTCTGTTATTTGTACTTTCTAAGATTATCTAGACATCACTGACAAATGGTGAAGGAAAACATCGTGAGGATATATGGAATTTCTAATAATAAGTTTGAAATTGCCAACCCAAAATGAGCAATCATGGTGTAAGCATTAATATGCTCAAAACCTCCATGTAAAAAGAAACTTTGCTCAGCAGCGGTCACTTTTAGGCTGTTGATGTATCCTACCAATCAAGCCTTTACGTTTAATATCCATAATGGAGGTAGTTGTGGAAAAAAATAGATTATAATATTGTATGGTCATCAAGATTAACCATTAGTATTAGATAAGTAGATTCACAGGAGACTTAACCCTTTATCTGTTGAAACACCGGCTCCCGGTATAAAATACATATATTATACCCGCAACTTTCAACATACAAGACGATGATGTATTTTCTATTGTCTCATACACCGACAGTCAAAAAGTTAAGAGTGTATCAAATGTCAGATCAATCTGTCATCAGGTAGGGGCAACCAAACAAACAATTAAACTGTCAAACACCAAGCGGTCACCGGTGACCGCGACCTATTGTTCTTTAATTGTGTCTATAAAACCGGTACTCGACGAGTTAATATAATGGGGAAACTTAAATAAAACTTTTTAAAGATGGAAGATAGTGACGGAGGTGATTAGGAGAGGTACAAGAGAAAGATTAGATTAGACTTATGGTAGGTATACTTTTTTTTGAAGGGGGAAAAATCATTGAATATCTGCTCTCGCCTGGGTGAGGCGGGAGGGACTGTCAGACTCTCACTGACTAAAAACCACCCCATTCCTACTCCTGCACTTCGAGCCAGAGCCCCAGTGAGCAGTTAGGTTCTCCGGGATGCTTATTACGCTTATAGGTATACTGGCTTACTAGTTTAGCCTGCATTCTTGTGATAAAAGCTTATCACACTACTATATAAATATGAAAATTTCTTTGTTTGGATGTGTATCCATCAGTAACACTGAAACTACTGAACGGACTTTGACGAAATTTGGCGACTTAGGTGATAGGATACTCCATCACTAGGTGGTTTTTTTTCGGATTTTTATCTTTTTTTATATTTTTGATTGGCCTACGTTTGATCACTAACTCGCCTGGTGGTAGGCGATGATGCGGTCTACAATGTAGCACGTCGTCACAAAAGCAATCTATTACCCAATTCTGATTAATTGCTCCCATGGGATAAAACAGGAATCATATTCTACGCGTAGAAAGTCGCGGGCAACAACTAGTGTGTTATTATAACCTTACCTATCAGCATTTTCCCCGGGATTATCATAATAATCAGATTCGCTGCCAGACGCCGTTCCCGCGTCATCCTGCCTGGCTGCAGCACTCTCCTGTTGATGATATTCTTGTGGTTCTTCCTGGCGGAAACCAGCATACGGTTTGACGGGCGTTTGCCGCCTAAATCTCGTTTCAATGTCGTCAGGAGACTCAAAGTCCATTAACTTAGAACTCTTCTTTCTCACACGCCCGCTACGGGATATACCAGTCACTTCCAAATCTACAAAATTAGCAAAAAGTTTTAGGAGGGAATTATTTTCGTGTGTTATGCTATCACAACGTGGTTAAATAACAGCTCGTAGTATTATGTGTACTTGTTGAATGCTTACCTTCCTGCATTTTGATGTTTGGTGCACAATTTTAGATATAAATGCTTTGTTAAAATTATTTGTTTACGACGACAATGAATAAAAATGTTTTTCAACAATACGATGAAACGTTTTCGTTTTGGGAGCGTGACAGCAAATTTGACAGAAAAATTTTTGACGTATCGGCAGGGTTGCCAAAGCTAATTCATCAAAATCCCCAAAATTCCTGATCGAATTCCCCAAATTGGGGAATAAAAATCCGCTGATTCCCCACAAATTCCCCTCAAAAGTTTTTTATAAAATAAAACTATAATCAATTATTTAAATAATATTGATTGTTTTAATTTGAAACTGTTGAGCTTCTAATGGATTTGAAACAGATATAATAGAAAATAAAGGATCTCGGAAATCAAATATCTTAATAATGTCCGACGTGAATTCCATATAAAATTCTTAGCATGTCTTATAGAAATCTGCAATAGCTGCAAAATGTACCTCGATTTTCATATTTTTTCAAATCTTCCATATTCTCTCCAGCTTTCATGCTTTATGATTTAAAAAAATGTTGTTATCGATAATAAACGATGAAATATTTTCCAATTTGTGTCAAATGCCAAAAGAAGTCAAAATCCCCGCATTTTCCCCACATAATGCCAATCCCCAATAAATCCCCAACCAACTTGAGATTCCCCGCAGTTTGGGAAATTCCCCACAGTTTGGCAACCCTGCGTATCGGACTGCGTCAGTCGATTTTTTTTTTTTGCTTGAACCGAGGGCTTTTGAGATATTGAAAAGAAACATATACGAAAATATTTCATTTTAATATTGAGTTAAAAACGTTATTGACTGCTTCAATGGCAGAGTGGTCGCAAGTGCGACTACCGGGCAAGGGGTCTCACGTTCGATTCCCGGGTCGTGCAAAGTATTAATGAGTTTTTTAAAAAAAGCACGGAGCCTCTGCCTACCCCTTTTTTTTAAGGGGGGAAAATCATCGAATGACTGCTCCCGCCTGGGTGAGGCGGAAGGGAGTGTCAGACTCTAACTGACTAAAAACCCCGCCGTTCCTTCTCCCGCACGTCGAGCCGGAGCCCCGGTTACCCGTTAGGTTCTCCGCGACTCCAAATCGGCAACAGCCCTATTGGGCCCCATCTGTGGTGGTCTGATGGCTCTTTGAGGCGCGCGCGGAACGCTACGCGCCGTACGCTCGGGTCTGTTTCTGGTCGGACGGGGAGCCACCCATGCTCGCCGTCCGCAGTCCCGCGCTTACGGTGGCCGGAGATCGCCCCCGCGATCCCCGACGCCCGGTGTGTCCTTCGCAATGGCTGGGTTGCGAGGAGGCAGCGCTTCGCTGCCTCACGCGTCCCGCCTCCTCCTTAGCTAGCATGACTACTTTGCAAAAGGAGGAAACGGCATCCCAGTCCCCCTCGCTCCGCATCATGGCCCGCACTAGGCCCGGACGCGAGAGACGCGAGAGGCTGCCTAACCCTTCGGGGATAAAAGGATGAATGACAAAAATGATTCGAGAAGAAAATAAATAAAACAAACTGATACAACAATCATATTTATTTTAGTAACACTGTCATATGAAACATACATAACAATATACATTTTATATTGGAATATTTTGTTAGTGGTTACCGCAGTATGACTGAATGCCAAAATTGAAAATATTATGCTGGATAATTTCAAAATACATTTATAAGGCGATCTCGAACGTAATCGAGGTGCATTAACCTTCCTGGCACCCTCAGTCGGTTAAAAAATTAGGAAAATAATTTTATTTCAATTTGGTACATTGTAAAAATATATTTATGGCAACACTTAGTTAAAATGCGACACATAATTATTGATGCTTGTGCGCAAAAACATGATGCACAAAAAAGTAAACAATACAATTTTTAACCAAAAAAACACTTAAAACCTGGAGAAGCGAACCTAAAATCAATGAACACCCAAAAACATTCAATTTAAGACCGCAAATACGAATTAAATATACAAAAAGATAAAAATTAAAAAAAAATACATCAAAATGTAGTGGAGAATTGGTCGGCAAGAAATAATACAAGTAAAAAATTACATTTGTTAATCGTTTTTTATTCTCACCAGATGGCGCTAATGTATCACTAGGTCTTCTCTGGGTCTAATCAGTATAGAAAATTGACTGCGCAATGGTTTGTCATTAGGGGAGGCCTATGTTCAGCAGTAGACGTCTTATGGCTGATATAATAATGAATTATACATTGGCCAAACAGAACCCCATGCTACATTAGAAGGCCAAGTCGTGAGTAAAATAATATTTGCCTTATTTTTATAACAACTATCGTGAGGCATACTAAATTAACTAAAAAATCGCGGGTTCCTCACGTGAATATACTGAATAAAGCTCTACTAGTTTCGAACCACAGAGGGGTTCTTCTTTATGAGCAGCGTGCGCGTGTGTATTTTCACGTGACTTACCCGCGACTTACAGTTAATATTAGCCTTTGTTGTTGTTAATATTAGCGAGGAGGGCAAAGGCGGGCATTGCTCTTTACAATCTCTTTTCATACCCCAAGTTTATAACAAAGTATTATATCAGTATTCAATAAATAATTTCTATCCTACGCCCATGTGACAACCTAATAAAAACTTGCTTTCAAAATGAATTTGTATTAATAAAATAATGACTGGCTTAAAACCCTCTGCGTTAGACGCAATGGCGATTTATAAAAAAAATGAGGTTCCCACATTCGTTTACGCTGTAGAAAGGATAATAATCCTTATTGAATTGTAATAAAGACGATATTTAACAGGTTAAAAATTTTTGATATTTCTGTTTAAGGAAAAAATATTTGAATTTAATATGGGATCTATAACTAAACACCATGTTAAAAATAATATTAATTTTGTGACTGTAAAAATTAATACCCAAGAAAATAAATAAACACATACATAGCGTAAAAACTATCAATTTTAACCATTATACATATAAACAGTTTTATAAGTTAAAGTTAATAAACTCGCAGGAGTGTGAATCATTAATATCATAAAACCTCTTTAGTACCACTTCGATTTTTAAATTATTCTGTTGGACCATCAATATGTTCATAAAAAATAAAATATTATAGATTAATAAGTACTTATTAATTGAAATATTGTTTATGACGAAACATTTAATGGCAAGCAATCAGTGTCGACCATAGACCATAGAAGACTTTACAAGTGTTGCCAGTCTATTGCGATGAGACCTACTGAAACCTCATTAATAATAAAAAATCTACTAAAAAAAATTACGCCCGAATCCTGATATACTACACAATTTTAAATTGTACTTAAATATCGTAGCATTTTACAAAGAATTTGTAGTGACACAATTATACTTAAGGGCAACGCGACATTTCAAATCCAATATATCGTCGAAAGTATTCGTTTCTGTAAGAAAATAAAAAATAAGTGTCTAATGGATGGATGGATGGATTTAAAATAATCTACCAAGCGGGCATTAAAATAAAAATTAGGCATCGTCCCTATTGAGTAGCGTTTGAATATTTGGACATTACCCAATGATATTAACAATACACTCCTACAAGACTATTAATAATAACTTACTAACCACTTATACACACACAAATACAATGCAGGAACCCCACAACAAAAAAACATAAAAAACAATTCAACTGACCCTACCAATGATGTTACCCAAAATAACAGCCATAGCCATAATAATACCAACGCCGGTTAAAATCTGATTTGGTTCTAATAGGACCTTGTTTTTATCCATTTCCTTGATCTGGTCAGCGTCCTCCAGGTCGTGGTGGACAGCTGATAATGCTTTGGTGATCTCAGCATCAGATTTCTGACTGGATTGCGAAGCGGCTACAATTGCACGGGTAAGGTCTCGTAGTTGATTATCTACGGTTTTTTCACGATGGTGTAGGTGCTCTGAAAGAGATGGAAATTGTTTTTATAATAACTATCGTGAGACATACTAAATTAAGTAAAAACGCGGGTTACTTAGGTGAATATACTGAGAAAAGCTCTACTAGTTTCGAACAACAGAGGGGTTCTGTTAAAATAATATCAAAATAATCTATGCTTTTTGTAGTTTTCGATTCCATCTGTTATGTTACCTATATAGATAATTGTTGTCTATGATTAAAGTCAGTCTAGTAAAAACATCTGTCGTGATTTCATTAGGTTCTTCCTCATGAGCAGCGTGCGCGGTCGCGGCGATGTCGCGCAGCTCAGTGTGACCGCGCACGCTGCTCATGTGGTTCGAAACTATTAGAGCTTTTCTCAGTATATTCACGTGAGTAACCCGCGTTTTTACTTAATTTGGCATGGAAATTGTTATTTAATTTTATAAGGCTTCATGCACAGACTAATGTATGTACAAGGTGGGCTCAATGCCATGGGTATTCTCTTCCAGTTAGACCTTTGGGTGATGCAGAGAAAATGTTTGTTGCAGAGTAGAATACATAATAGGGTAGTTGCCAGGGTATAAAAATTAAAAATGTAATATTTAAAAAAAAAAACTTTGCCCCATACTAGGATTTTCTCCTGTGTCGTGAGTACGTTTACAAACATACAAGTTCACATACACATCACACCCAGACCCGAAACAACAATCTGTGGATCACACAAAGAATTGTTCCGTGCGGGAATCGAACCCGCGACACGTTGCGCGGCAGCCAGCCCAGCCACCGCGCCAACCGTGCAGTCAAGTCAAATTAGTCCGTCAGTTAGGTAATGAAAAAATGTTAGACACGTAGTTTTTTGATACGTAGATATAACGAATCAAAGTTTATGAGTGGGGGCTAAAACGCTACACTAGAGATTTGTCAGTACAAACAGATAGACTGAAAAAAATTGTAAAAAAATGTTATTCTGGTATGTGTATCGTATGCATGTAGTAAAAGGTGGTTATTTTAATATTACAAACAGATACTCTGATTTTATTAATATGTATAGATTACCGACTTATATCATAATTTTGTTATAAAGTTTTGAATTTAACATAACATAACATCACGCCTTTTTGGTAGGCAGAGGTGCACATTATGCCCTTATACACTGTACAATGTAACACCCACATTTCACTATTTATGTTATGAGTCCCATGTAATAGGGGGAGAGCCTATTGCCATATACCGGGCACAATTCCAGACTCCGTGCTAGAACGGAGACATAGCCTCATGAGCCTCTAGCATAGCTTGAAACTAGTCGAGTTCCACGTCAAATAATTACGTGAGTAAGCCGAAAACATAATAATTTATTAAATATGTTTCACGAAAATTACAATACAACCCAGTAATACTTTGCCCGTCCCGGGAATCGAACCCGAGTCCCCTTGCCCGGCAGACGCACTTGCGACCACTCGGCCAACGAGGCTGTTTTGAATGTATTGTTTAAATACTTACGTATCAAGGATTCCTGTGTAGCGACTAGACCGTTTATATGTTCCTGCATTATTTTCAAGTTGTTCGCCAGATTGTCCTGGAACACACAAAATATATTTTTTATAATAACTATCGTGACACATACTAAAGTGAGCTGCGCGACGTCGCCGCGACCGCGCACGCTGCTCATGAGGAAGAACCCCTCTGTGGTTCGAAACTAGTAGAGCTTTTCTCAGTATACGACTGCACGGTTGGTGCGGTGGCTGGGCAACCGGCTGCCGTGCAATGTGTTGCGGGTTCGATTCCCGCACGGGACAACACTTTGTGTGGTCCACAAATTGTTGTTTCGGGTCTGGGTGTCATTGTGTATGTGAAATGTATGTTTGTAAACGCACCCACGACACAGGAGAAAATCCTAGTGTGGGGCAACGTTTTTTTTTTTTAAAAAATAAAACATATTCACCTGAGTAACCCGCGGTTTTAGTTAACACAAAATATAGTTAACAAAACCACTATGCTCGGTCATCCTATGAGATCTTAGATTGGATTCGAAATGAAGCCAATATATTTTGTCGTTTCAGATCTTTCTTTCTTTCTTTTTAACATTGCCCCACACTAGGATTTTCTCCTGTATCGTGTGTGCGTTTACAAACATACAAGTTCACATACACATGACACACAGACCCGGAACAACAATTTGTGGAACACACAAAGAGTAATTCCGAGCGGGAATCGAACCCGCGACACGTTGCGCGGCAGCCAGTGGCCCAGCCACCGCGCCATCAGTGCAGACAATTTCGATGGAAACGTATGTTATAGTCGTTCGATCTTGATTTTATTTATCTTTATATATATAATTCTTCTGTGAGTGTATATGTCACTGAACTTCTCTCAAACGACTGGACCGATTTTGATGAAATTTTTTGTGAGTGTTCAAGGGGATCTGGGAATGGTTTAGATTCACAAATCAGCCCAGCAGATGGCGCTGCAGTCGATGTTTAGGTTATTTATCCTAAACAGCTGAACTAATTTGAATGAATTTTTGTTTATACCCTCGGGAATACCAAATGTTTCCGGGTTAAAAAGTACCCTATTATTTAATCCGGACTTCTAACTTTACGTCTGCAAAAATTCAAAGCAATCGGTTTAGTAGTTACGGCGTGAAAGCGGAACAAACAAACAAACTCATTTTCCGATTTATAATATTAGTTAGGATTAGTAAGAATTACACATAACATAACATCACGCCTTTTATCCCCGAAAGGGTAGGCAGAGGTGCACATAATACCACTGTACAATGTAACACCCACTTTTCACTATTTATGTTACGAGTCCCATGTAATAGGGGGTGAGCCTATTGCCATATACCGGGCACAATTCCAGACTCCGTGCTACTACTAAGAATTATTTAAAAACCCAGTAATACTTTGCCCGACCCAGGAATCGAACCCGAGACCCCTTGCCTAGCAGTCGCACTTGCGATCACTCGGCCAACGAGGCAGTCCTGTAGTAAGGATTACCTGGTAAGCAAATTCAGTCTTCATGGCCTCGGTAATATCAGCCCTAGTAGAGCTGCCACCGCCGGCGATGGTGTAGAGTACACTGGCAGACCGGGCCATCTGCTGCTCCATCATCTGACGGAATTCCGACATCTTCAGATGATTATTTATTGAGGAACCGGCTATACCTAGGACTGTGCCTGGAAAGAGAAGTTACCAACCATTAATAGGGTAGATGACTAATATTTATTTTAATATCCGTCTGGTAGATTGTTTTAAAAAGGGTAGTAATGAAAGCTCCGACAAGAAAAGAAGAATTGTCCTTACTGAAAATATTAAATCTACTGCCTAAAATACTAACTTTCCGACTCCTTTACATGACTGTTTATTGCTACAATACTAACCTAACCTAAAACATCTGTTGTCGGTAACTTAGTAATTTTGTCGGAGGTTCAATATTCTATTCGGAAGTTTAGTTTTGTTATTCGAAGATCCATTTCTATAGTCGGCCACAGATCGCTGGAGATTAATTTGTTTTTCGGAACCATTATTATTTTCCATGTCCAAATATTATTAATGTCCGTCTGATAGATTATTTTAAATCATTAGACACGTACTTTTTATTTTTTTTACAGAAACGAATACTTTCGACGATATATTGATTTGAAATGTCGCGTGACGTCACTTCTATGTACATTTTATACGTAGTAATGACGTTTTAGCCCCACTCCTAAACTTTGATTCGTTTTATCTAAGTATTGTTTTATTATACAACAAAATAAAAAATAAGGTTACATAGACCTAAGTGTTGTGTTATATATGTTATTTAATCAAACGAAATATCAGTAAAAGAGAGAAGGCTATCGACACACACCTTTATTCACATTCAATTGTTTTACCAAATCCGCGGGCTCCGCCACGCACATAGATAAACTATCACCATAGACTATATATGACCATAGAGTATACCACAGATACTGTGCAGGACGACGACAATTAAAGACATTAAGGCCTAGATAATAAGTAGTCATTAGCCTAGATAATAAGTAGTTATCAGCTTAGATAATAAGATATTGAATAACATTGTAAACACTTGCACAAAAATTAACAAATTAGTAGTTTACCAAAGTAAATTCCATAATTAGCGTATCGACGGGCTGTACTTCCTATCGACGCCGTCTTCCTACACCATTTATAACCGTAATTGTTATATTAGTAAGAAAATGGTGTAGGAGACGAGCAAATAAATAAAATGTCATTAAAATAGGCCCCGGAAAAAGCAGTTCTGTTCTGTCCAAAACAGGTCTCCCCGCCCGAAAATAGAGCGAGACGGAGAGAACTTCTCCTTCGTTCGGGCTGGGATTGGACAGAGCAGAAAATGCGATCGGTGTGTCGTCACCGTACGTACGGCACACAGTCCGGGGTAACTATAGCAACAGCTTTACAGCCCGTCGACACAGTTCGTCGGCAATCATCGGTCACAGTTTATCGGAACCTCGTGCAGTTTGGGCAACCGCTGCCCGACAGCTGTCCTAGTTATCGTAACTAGCCTCGGTGTCGCGAATCGGCAAAGTCGCGACCTAGTATACCGAAATCCGTAACAAGATCGCGGTTCGGCAAACCCGCGATCAAAACACCGATAACTCTCAGTGAATTTAGTGATAACGCATTTTCTCTATTAACAGTAAAATTGTGCAAGTGTCTGAGTGTTCGTGGAAAGACATAATAGTGTATAAACTCCGTAGAATTAAGTATAGAATAACTATAACTACAAAACAAATTGTTATCAGTGTCATTATCAATTTCGTGCAAACCGCTTTCAATCGTGGAACTCTTGTAGTCCAAAAAGTTATGCATGTAATTCGCTACGAACGCTTTAAAAGTGTGTGCAAAATCAATTACTAGGATAAGAAAGCTTTTCAAACATTTATAATTTAATTTAGTATAGATTATCGTACTTTTCTAAATCAGTAACAGTGCAATAAACAGTGTTTATTTACAAAGTGTCGTCTTTTATTCCACAATCCCATGACCGGCGCACGAGGTGTGTACAGTATAGACGCACATCTTAATGGTCCTTCGAGCCGGATCTCGTAATTGTGGAATAAATAAAAGGGCTTTGTAAATATATAGACTCAGTGTAGTGAAGTGTAACTGTGAAACATGCCTGTGACACGATCTGAAGGTAAAGCCAAGAAGGCAATACCAAAGGCGGTGAGCGAGGACACTCCGACCGCGTCGGCGACCAGTGCGGATACGGAGTCCTCCGCCGTCACGTCGGAAACGTCACGAACGGGTATGTCATCCACGACTGGCATGACGGCTACCTCTGCCACGTCGGGGACTACCACGACGCAGACCTCCGCGGCCGAAGCCTCGGACACATCGGGCGCCACACCCGGTTCGGGTGCAGAGAAATCGTCAGCGCCGCCATCATCGACGACGACGCTGAAAGCGGGTGCGCGATCGTCAGTGCTGATGCCGCCCCCCGACGAAGCACGCCGGCACGAAGAAACGTCGTACTCAAAACAGTCCGGTAAGTGCAAATCTAGTAGTGCTCGCCCTCCGCCCTCTAGCAAGAGAGGGACAGAGAAATCGAATAAAAGTAAGAGAATCCTTAAAGCGAAGGAAGACTTACTCAAGCTCCAGGTAGAGCTTGCCGCAGCACGCCTTGCTTCGATGCAGGCAGCTGATAGTGAGGATGAGGAGGACGCCGCCTCCCTATATACTCAATCAACCGTGAACAATCGCGTGGACGATTGGCTGCAAAATAGCGAGACAGCACGCCCCGTGTTGGCCTTAACCAATGAGCCTCACCAACCCCCGGCACAGCCAGTCGCTCCCATCGTAATGCCCACCTCGGCGGAGGAACCGACCCCGTCAAGAGGGGGAGATAACCATAGGGTACCGGCGGGAGGATCAACCGACCTCTCCGTCTTAGCGGAAGCCATTACCAAGGCAATCAGTGCCGCTCAGAGGCCGCGGTATATAGAACTACCGACCTTTAGTGGGTCGCATAGCGAGTGGCTTCCCTTTAGAGCCGCCTACCTAGAGACTGAAAAACTCTTCAGCCACGTGGAAAATACCAATAGGTTAAGAAAGAACCTAAAGGGAAAGGCTAGGGAGGCGGTGGACGGACTATTGATTACGAACACTAGTCCCTCCGAGATTATTCGTTCACTCGAATTAAGATTCGGTAGACCCGAGTCAATAGCGATGACTGAGATCGACAACCTCAGAAACCTCTCGCGCCTTACGGAGTCGCCGCGAGACATTTGCATCTTCGCAACGAAGATATCGAACACGGTAGCAACACTGAAAACTCTGGGTTGTCACAACTACATGCACAACCCAGAGATATCGAAGATACTGATCGAAAAGTTTACACCGACTTTGAAGTATCGGTATTATGATTACTCCACGTTGCAACCGGTGGAAGACCCGTGTCTACTCAAGATAGAACGGTTCCTCAGAAGAGAAGCTGAACTGTGTGGCCCGTTCGCGTTGCCAGAACAGGTCACGCCCGTCCCCACAAATGCCCCTTATAAGAAATTACACAAAGTAAATAATGTGCAAGAAAGGACACATTCACTCAAGTGCTTAGTGTGTGAAGACCCGGGCCATTCTCGGGCCACAGAGTGTAGTAAATTCAAGAACATGAGTGAGGGAGCCAGGTGGGAGGCCGCCAAGGTCAAACATCTCTGCTTCAGGTGCTTGAAGCATCGAAATCGAACCCACTCTTGTAAGACAACGGCATGCGGAGTGAATGGGTGCAAGAATACACACCACCGCATGCTACACTACACGAAGAAGGAGACGGAGCCGCAAACCGAAGGCACGGAAGTGATCAACTCCGCCTGGACCTCAAGGGCTCAATCATTCTTGAAAGTAATCCCGGTAGAGATCAGCGGGCCCAAGGGGACACGACTAACTTACGCACTGATGGACGACGGGTCAACCGTCACATTAATCGATGACATGTTAGTGAAAGCCATCGGTGCGACGGGACCGGTCGACCCACTTCGTCTACAAACGATAAATGAGGCCGGCCCCGCCGAACGTTCCTCACGAAGGGTCACAGTACGCCTGAAGGGAGTGAACGGTACATTTAAACGCATCACCGCCAGGACGATAAAAGACTTGCGCGTATCGGCTCAAACAGTGCCGCCGGAGCTAGTGGAGGGCTGCCCACACCTGAAGGATATCCTTCCACAGCTCACATATAGAGACGCTCGTCCGCATATTTTAATCGGCCAGGACAACTGGCATCTCCTCACAAGCACAGAGATGCGCAGGGGAGATTCGAATAGTCCAGTAGCATCACTTACGCCGCTGGGCTGGGTCCTTCATGGGAGACATTCCCGCTCGATTGGGAAACATATAGATTTCGTATCGCACACGATGGAACAACCCATGGAGGACCTGAACGCTGCCATGAAGAACTACTTCGAACTGGATGCGCTCTGCATAGTACCAAAACGTCCTCACAACGATCCAGAGGAACAAGCACTGCGGATCCTGAGAAAAAACACCGTTAGAATTGATGGCAGGTTTCAAACGAGCCTTTTGTGGAAAAGCGACGACATAAGGCTTCCCAATAACTACGAAAACTCCTTGAGAAGGCTCGAAAACATAGAGAAAAAGCTGGATAAGGATCCAGCTCTCAAGAAGAAATACACAGAGCAGATGGAGTCGCTGGTAAGCAAGGGGTATGCGGAGCTCGCACCCCAAGCCACGACTCTCCACGGAACGTGGTACCTGCCGCACTTCGGGGTGACCAACCCCATGAAGCCCGATAAGCTCAGGGTAGTCCACGACGCCGCCGCTAAAACCAAAGGAGTTTCTCTGAACGAAGTACTCCTTAAGGGGCCCGACCTGCTGCAATCGTTGCCCGGAGTCGTTATGAGATTCCGGCAGCATCAGATCGCGGTGACTGCTGACATAGCGGAAATGTTTATGCAGGTCAAATTGAGGCCAGAAGACCGTGATGCTCTCAGGTACCTCTGGCGCGGTGAGCAGAGGAACATACAGCCGAGGGAGTATCGAATGACATCCCTAATCTTCGGAGCTTCGAGCTCGCCCGCCTCCGCCATATTCGTCAAAAACCTTAACGCGGAACAACATAGGTCCACCCATCCCGAGGCCGCCGAGGCGATAGTCCACAAACATTACGTCGACGACTACCTAGATAGCTTTCGAA